CAGCGAGTAAGGCTTCATACTCTGCTTAATTGTTTGTCAACTTGAATTCAATGATGGCAGCTTGAGTGATGGCAATTTATGTTGGGCTCTTCAAAATCATCCTCGCACTATTTCATGTTGGCTTGAAGCTCTATCAACATAAAGGATCCAGTGTTGTTACTAATTGCTCGATGCACTGGGTATTAAAGTTAGCAAGGAAGTTGGAGAGAGCCTAAGCGTTGATGGTTGTCCTTTGGCTTATAGGTGATTTGGAACTAGCTCAACTCCATCGACCATTTTAGCAATCTTTTTGAGTGAGCAGGCATAACAAGTACTAATTTGAGAGGATGATATGTAACAACTTGTATCAAATGGGCATGAAAGTATGGTCGTAGTCTCCTATCAAAGGTTAGGAGTGCCCATGCAAATTTCTTCATGATAGGATATCTTTGCTCTGCTCTTAGTGTCATGCTCACATAATATCCCAGCCACAACTTTTTCCCTTCTTCCTAGACAAGTACTAAATAGATAATGTCTTCACCCAGTCCTTGAGGTGTAAATAAGTTGAGCTGGCTCTTGAGCCGACTCGAACTCAACTCACCAATGATGTTGCAAGTCGATCTTATCAAGCCACTGCTTGAAAAATTAATTTAAACATCAAATTATAATTTAAACATTAAGGTCTAATCAAAGTATAAGTTAAAAAGAAATGTGGTTGTACAATTTGCAAAAGAACATTAAAAAAACATTACATGCAGCTGTCTAATTAAAAAAAAAAATTATTAAATGTAGTTGTGTGATTTTCGGAGGAAAATAAAAAAATTTGAATAATTAATGCACATGTAAAAAAAGTGAAAAGGCATAATCTCAATTCCCAAATCATGTCATTTCGTCGAACTTCGGTCATTTCTCCTTCACCATTTCTCTTCCTTCTTTCAGAAGAGATTTAATCATCAAGCATATGAAACTTCACTCTTCCTCGGCAAAAACCAAGACCTCCAGCCTTGATCTTCCTCCATCGAACTTTGCTCTTCCTCAACGAAAACAAAGCAGAGCTCCTTCAATTTCATCTTGAGCTGAGCTCTCAATCTCAAGTAAAAATGGACACGTTGAGCTCGAGCTCATTCTATGGGCTCAAGTTCAAGATGCTCTTTTGAGGGATTACGAGTCAAGCTCAAGTTGTCGAGTTTGCTACAACTTGAGCTAAACTCGACTCATTTGTACCCCTAAACAGTCCTCACCAAGTATGGAACTTTGGAGTAGAGGAGACGAGAATATAAGAAACTTTAATTACTGGAAGGCGACCTCACCATTCTCGCTCCAGGCGAACTTCTAGGTAGTTTGAAGAATGACAAGCACTTTTTTCTTAAGCTTGGAGATGAAGAGATTAAGCCAGTGACTCGCCCAATGAGTCGATGTATTTCCTTTGCCTTACTTAGCGATGGCATCTCTAAAATTACCTACATTTGTTCGGGTTCACCTTGATACCTTCAGTGGTGAGAAGGGAATCTAAAAATTTCCCTAAACCTGCATCAAAAGTATACCTAAAGGATTGAGTTGCATATTGTAACTTTTAAGAGTAGTGAATGTCTCTTTTAAATCTTCAATGTGCAACTTGAGTAACTTGCTCTTAACTAATAGGTCATCCACATACATCTCTACGTTCCTCCCCTTTGGTCCTTGAAAGGTTTATCCATCATTCTTTATGGTAGGTCATGTGAAACCACTCAAATAAAAGAAGCTAAACTCTTAAACATCGAGGCAACTTTTGGTGTAATGGTTGGAATTAAATTTAAGAAACTCAGTAGTTAAGCGTGCTCATCCCGGAGAAATCCTAGAATGGGTGACCTCCTGAAAGTTACACCAACAGGACAAACCCATGAGGCCCTTAAGTCAAAGCAGATAATACCTCGATAATTAAGAGTTTGAGAAGTTATAATTAGTATCACAGTAATACACCAACCGGAAGATGGGAACTAAGTGTCATACAAGATAAAATGCTACGACATGGGAGCCACCTCTTAAACCCTGTATGAGACAAAGTGTTATGTGGTGAGAGTCACCACTTGAACTTGTAGGGGTCACCTTTAGAATAATATTGACTTGGTGGATGATTATGAGATAAGGATACTAACAAGGATGTCAGTTACTTAAGTGGGGGAGATTGTGAAACCCCTTAAATAAAAGAAACTAAACTCTTAAACATGGAGGCTCTTAAGTAAAAGAAACTAAACTCTTAAACATGGAGGCGCCTTTTGGAGTAATGATTGGAATTTCATTTAAGAAACTTTTCAATTAAGCCAACCTGACAAAATCATGAGGCCCTTAGGCCAAAACGGATAATATCTCGACAGTTAAGAGTTCTTGGGAAGTTAAACCAACAAGAGAAAACCGTAAGGCTCTTAGGCCAAAGCGGACAATATCTCGATAGTTAAGAGTTCCTGAAAAATTCTACCAATAGGGCAAAACCGTGAGTCCCTTAAGCCAAAGCAGATAATATCTTGATAGTTAAGAGTTTGGATTGTTACAAGTCGCCCTTATGTTATTTAAGTCAAACATCATGACCATATAATAATGCAAGCCTTCTATCGTAATGAAGGCAATTTCTCGCAATCGCCTGGGTGCCTAATTATTTGGTAGTAGCCAGAGAAGGCATTGAAGAAACTCATCACTACATAGCCCATAATCGAGTCCACCAATGAGTCTATCCCTGATATTGGGTGGACATACTTAAGGCATGCTAAATTAAAGTTAGTGAAGGCCACACATCCTTCACTAGCTCATTTTTTTTACACCATCACCATATTGGATATCTAGTATGGGTACTGAACCTCCCTAATAAAGTAACCTCAATCAGCTTTTGTTTGTCCTGCTTGATAGGCTCGGCAAGTACTACTAGAGCCTTTCTTATCTTCTACTTTAAGGTTCTTGCTTCTTTACTCATATTCAGCTTATGGCAAACGACTTATTTGTTGATGCCTAACATCTTTACTATCGTCCGAGCAAAGACGTCAATATATTCTCATAGTGCTTGAAGGAGTTCGCCCTATGCTTTCTAACTGAACAATGCACTTATTCTAAGGGTTCTACCTGACTCGCACTCCACATATAGATATTAGCCTTCTTTTGAGAAAGATGACACCTTCCTGACCGCCCTTAGGTAGTAGGTACGTTAACTGTGTGAGATCCCCATCATAATTATATCCCTTCCTTCAGTTGAGAACTTGATGGTTACAGTAGGGGCCTACTAAAGATGGTAATGTAAGTGGTTGGAGCGTCCACTATGTTGAAATCTGCCATGACTATGTATTGTTGGTCACCCTTGCCACAGGTAACTGGAAAGGTGATTACTCCTTATGTCTCTCTACATTCTCCTACGAAGCCATATAGGGGATATATATATTATGTGTAAGTTGGGAAGTAAGAAGGTCATCTTCTCAAATACAAATTTAAAGATAATATTAACGTAACTCTTTGTATTTATTAGTATGTTGCTTATCTGACATTTGGTACTTAGCACAATGATGGCGATAGCATCGTTTTGAGGGTTCCCTCATGCTGGCTTTTCAGCTTCTCCAAAGGTAAAAAGGGCGATGTCCACCGTTGGAGCTCGTGAGGTGGACATGAAATTCACCTCTCTGACCTTCAACCGCTTTGTTGTCGTTGGCGAGTTAAATCGCTTGCCTCCCAAAATGACGGGCACCACTCCCACAATGTGAACCAAACGAGGGATTTGATGTAAATACTCAAAGGAGTATAGATGGGATAAATTAGCAAACAGTGTGAAACCTCTTTATGGTAGGGGTGACTGGTACAAGGGAGTTACTTCGCCCTTAATGCAAGTGGTCTCACAATCCTTAGTGGCCTAGATTGCAAGGGCACCCTCTGGTGCTCTAGAAGACAATGATCTCACAGCAGATTATGTCTTATATCTCTTCGCTCTTTAGGGTGAGTTATCTCACTTTCTTGTCCTTGTCATTGATGCCTTTGATTTGAGAGAGAGAAATTCATAAGATCGAATGGATATGTAGGATTCAACCACTTTGTTATACTCTTCGGCATGACTATTGGAGAGCTCTAATAATTTGACCACGACAACTTCACGTCGAATGCATAATGAAAAGGACACTCCCTTATCCTTAGGTCAAAGTAGTATGATTGACTACAGCCTCTAAATCATTCATTTCAAGCATCTCCCTTTAGAATCTCATAATAAAACTCACAAGTCCCTCTCCGAGCTCCTATCTCATCTTCAGAAGAGCAATGTGAGCTCTTTTGGGCTTTTGAGCACTAATGAATTGTGTCACAAACATTCTCTTAAAATCTTGGTAGGAAGTGATGACCCACACTGATTGGTGAGTAAACCACCTCACTATTGACTCCTTGAGTGTCATGAAGAACAAATAATACTTGAGAGCATCATTAATGTCAAACAAACAATACTTGAGAGTTTGTGAGTTCATGTTCAGCTCTCTTACAAGAAATGGTGGGTTGTAGTCTTCATCACTCATTAGTGTGCAAGTGGGATCAAGGACAAATGTTGAGGTCAACACTCTATTGCCAAGCCTCCTGCGACGTGTTGCCAAGTCAAAAGACTCTTTAGGAGTGCTCAACCTTCATGTATGGATTGGTAGTCCTCCTAAGGTGTCTTGAATCATTTTGGGCAAACCTCGCTTCCATCTTCATTATGTCTCAGCAAGTATTAAAGTTAGAGTTCTCCATGTTCACTAAAGATTTTGGGTTACTCTATTTGTCAAGTTGGGCTTATCTTCTTATCACTGGCATCAACCAAAGTCTCCTTAGAGGAAGTTGGATCCAAATTTGTCCGTGGATGATGCCTGACCCTACTAGCATGCTAACTTAGAGAAAATGACTTGGAAACCTATGTGAGAATGTGAGAATGAATAAAAAAATCATAATTATAGATCTATAGTATAAGAGCTCTAGGTAACTAAAAATCTTGAATAAAAAAGGTCTCAAATGTTTCTCTTCATCATTTATTGATAGAAATCTGAGGGCTACAAGAAATGCTAAAAAGGAAATAAATAAAAAGTGCATACTTTACACAACCCAACGTGGACCACCCCTAAACATATTTCATCCTCTAATTAGCTCGAAGGAGAACAAAGTTGTGTTAGTTTTTGATAATCTACCTTTGGATGAGCTCAATGGTGTCAAAGTAGGTATGAGCAAGTGAGCATGGGATGAGTCCATTAGCAAATGCTAAGATGGAGGGACCTGTGACTAGTGAGTGCCCTGGAGTTGCCAACATGTCATGGAGCCATGAATCACCTCAGAAAGGGAGGCGAGTGAGCTATTGTTTGCAAGGAAGGCAAGCTCCGTGGTAGGACGTGCTAAGAGCTCCTTGGGTAGGCACTTTCTTGTAACGGAGGCGACAAGAGTGAGTGAAGACACTCTACTGTGTATGATGGCAAGCAGCTTTAGTGGACGAACTATCTAATAACACATGTTGCGAGTCGTGTGATCTACGATTGCCCCTAATTGTCCCCATGGGAAACAACTTCCCAGTGTGCTTCCAAGCGAGTAGATTCTCGACGTCCTTGAGTGAGTTGAGTCCTTCGTGTGGCTTGTTAGGTGCGAGTTCCTTTATAACGACTCGCCGCCTACCTGCTAGATATCTGAAAAAGCATATGCAAAGTGGAATATGAGATTTAAATTATTTATTTCTAACACACAAAAATTGTCTTTCATTTCATCTAAACCATCCTAATCTACCTTTTTTCACCCTATTCTTCAACTGCTTGAAATATTCCCAACACCCATCTAAACTCAAGCGCAATGGAATAGCAGAGGAACCCAAATAGAAGAATGAAATGGGGAAAACAAACATTATGACTTTAATCAATAACCATCATATGCCTCCAATATAAGCCAACAAAAAAAAAGTTAGAAAGACTAAAATATTCTATAGCACGAAATAAACACTATATAAGAGAAGAAACATGAATTTAACGGACTAGATTAGAGGGCATTAAAGGCTATATGATATTAACCAGGTCAGTGAATTAGTAGTTCAAATAATAACTTGGACAGTTAGTACAGCTGCATGGTATTTCGAAGAGCATCTGAGATTCGGCAAAATTGTGTGGAACTCAGATACTCTCCTCCAATACTCAGAATCCATGTAAAAAAATGACATTAGATGGCAAAAAACACAGAATATGCCGCAGCTTCCTTCCTCCTTTTATGCACCAAACTGAATAATTCTTCTAAAGTTAGAAAAAAAAAATCTTTAGTTATCTCGGATCTTACCAAAATGGTACTTCTTCATGATGATGATCAACAGATAGTTGAATTGCAGCTACTTACTCAGAAAAATCAGCAGTAGAAAATCCATTTAAGGGCCTTGATATTTGATTCTCATCTCGACAACATTCAGAGGTTTTAGACTTGGGAGTTTTTATATCTGAGCCATATGATGGAAAGACCACATCCATTTTAAATAAAAAGCCATCACCATTGCTTGGAGAATTGAATGTTTCGGCCGAGGTTTCGAAGCTCGAGCATGGCAGCTCTTGTCCAAATTCATTGATTTCATTCTCATAAAATGATGATACGCCATTGCATTCCATTTCGGTATGATCTCGAGAACAACCATTCGAGGAACTAGGAGAATTTGAAGTCACATTCGAATCAGGAGAAATTGAGTCTCCATTTACATTGCCCCTAGCCATATTGATATCCCAGCCAAACTGTAAATGCCCGTTAGAATGGCTATTGGCTTTGGAGGATAAGGGAGTTCCGTGGTTGTCCATTGGAACTGTTACCTCACACCCTGAAGGTTTCTTATGGACAGGCTTGTCGAGGAATCCGCGGGTAAAGATTGGCTTCATTTTTACTCTTGAACTGTCCATCGAAATTTTCGTGTGCATTTCACATTCTAGATAAGTATCTGAAGTACAAGTACCATTTACTAGCCCAGATGAATCATAAATTATTGCTCGTGGTTCAGGCCAAGGGCTTAGGGCCAATCTAGGCCCTTGATCTATGCTTGAAGTAAGGATAGGTGCAGTTGATGCTTCTGCCATAATTATATCGTTATCTGTGGAGGATAGCTCAGGTATTACTTTGCCATTAACTGATACATTGCCTTCCTCCATATGCAAACTAGCATCAGAATAAGAGTTCAATTCTTCGAATTCAGTTGATTCAATTTCAGCATAGGAAAAATTAGCAGTATTTGAGGCTTTTGATGGCATAGATTTGATTGAGGAATTTTCCAGACAATTTGAATTTTCTAATTTGACACCATTCACTTCAGATGGATTGGCGAAAGAATTATCAATGCCAAAGTTTTCAGCACTTTTAGGCACCAGTTTAGTGGTCCCCAATGCATACAGGTCCATATCTTCTGATTCATTTCCGCTGCATTCTACAAGCTCTCTATCATGCCCTGTATCTCTTAACGTGGAGAACTTAGATAACGTTTCGGAATGTAAAATATTTGTTTGAGGCTCAGCTTCCAAGGGCATGGAAAATACAGCACAAGCAGCACTTGAAGTCTCGGGATCAGTTTCAGCTAAATGCGCATTTGTAGAACGCTCCACGGGCTTGACGAAAGGATCCTTCCTAGGATTTCTCCTGATCAAATATTGAAAATAGGTATTCAAACAATCATCATTGTTAGCCTTATCCTAACAACTAGCATGTTTGAATCCACTAAATGGTGCTCCTTTTTCTGAATATTTTGATATGGAATCATAATATCATTGTTGTATGATGAAAATTAAGTTTACCTTAAAAATAAAGTGATCAAGGCAACCATGCAATAGCCAGTTACTGAATTAGTGCGTTTATACACTTACAAGTAAAAAGCAGAAGCATTTTACTACATTTTACAACTTCATTAGTTGTTAGGAATGAAAAACATACCTACGATATAACAGCATATAAGCACCTTGAGCTAGTACTTCCTCCACCTCAACTTTTATAACCTACAATATCACAACAATGAGCTCCAGCTCCAGAGCAAAGAATTCATAATTGCTTTAAAAAAGGTTAAGGGAAAATACCTTGCAGTCATCAATTTTATACCAGAGGCCTTGATAATTCTTTATATAACAAATGTAATGACCGAAAAAAGAAGCATTTAGCATATCCAAGTGAACAACAACTCCGTATAAAGTATAGCGGTCAGTACCATCTCCACTTGAACTCATGTATGGAGTGAGATCCAAATTTTCAGGAAAAGTTACTCTTTTGTTCAATTTTCCAAACCTACCACTCTGCATAAGCAAGAGATTAATCTTGGGCTGATGCAAAATTGAGATGAATTATAAGGAAAATATTGACAGGGCTCAAACCTGGAATCTCTTGAGAGCAATAGTGAGAACATTTGGAGCCTGATGAACTGTAAGTCTTTTCCATGCTTTGACATAGCCATTGCATCTGAATATTAAACCAACAAAATTTGATAAGGCTGAAATTCATCATCTTTAAGTGAAAATAGTACATGTAATCTCTAAAAGCATCTAAAAATGAATTTTCAAAAGGCACTCTTGCCAAGTGGAATATCATGAAGCGTTTCCCCTTAAAATTTACTGAGACAGAAGCGTTTCTAAAATGCACCAGAACATCGCAACCAAAATTCAAGTTGGTTACACGCGCCACCCTAAAACCTGATTGTATAAAATATGTGTACAAGTAATATCTAAAAAGGATGTTGATTTACCAGGAATCAGTAATTTGCCTTTGGACTTCTATCAAAATGCTTTCAAGTTTTATTCAACAGATCTCATCAATAATGATTGGTCTTCAAACAAACAAAAAATTCTACATGTATAATGATTGTTAGAAGGGTAAAGAGGTCAGAAATTTTATTGAAATGAGGCAGACAGTATGCAATCTCACAGTTTAAAAATGGTTTAATTCAAAGGATCGAGTTGTTTAGCATTTAAGTGACAACTTTAATGACAGGCTATCTTTTTCCTTGGACGGACAGTTCTTCAGATGACGTGTGCTTCTCATATTTAAACATAATTGTGAAAATTAATCAACATTTTATTACAAAATACTGACAGTATGCAAGGATAAAAAGGTCAAAAAAATTTTTTGGGGAAATAAAAGGTCAAAATTTTATTGAATGATGTTCTCTGGAATGAGACAGGAAGAAGAATGCAATCTCACCGTTAAAAATGGTATAGCTCAAATGATAAAGTTGTTTTGCATTTAAGGATTAAGTTTAATTACAGATTACCTTTCATTGGATGAAGAGTACTTTAGATGATGTGTCTCTCATATTTAATCATAATTGTAAAAATTAGACAACCATGTTGTTGTCGTATCCCAAGCCTTATATGAGAAAATTGGAGAGTTGTGTTAGGCAATTATTAACCACCATAATACTTGTTGAACAATCATGACATGAATCATTTAATACATTATGTAATGCTAAAGTGTTCCCTGAAAGCGATGTGCAATATGGCTTGAATACAGCGAAAAGCGTGCAGATGTTGCTACACCAGCGCCCAGGTGCAGTATTAAATAGGAGTTCCCATATTATGGATGGATGTAAGCAAAGAAGTTAGTCCATAAAATTAGAATTAAGATATGAATTTGGAATATAAGTACTCTTATATACAATCAATGAAATAAATAGATATTATGATTCATAAGAAAAATATTTTATGTACTCAGAAAACTAAATTGGTTGGAAAAAAGGCTAAAGAGATAAGAAAATAAATATTTTATGTATTCAGAAAACTAAATAAGTTGAAAAAAAGCTAAGGAGATTGATAGTTTAGGATTTAAAATTTTGGTATTCAGATAAGAGTCATACTAAAATGGTTTAAGTGTGATTAGAAATAAAATTTTGAAGGATAATATTAAAGAAATTAATAAATTGGAGATAGAATTATCTTTAAAGATGATTGTTAATGTTAAGATTATTAATATTTTAAGTACTTATGCTTCTCATATAGGTTAAAAATAAATTTTTAAAATGGCTTAAAAAAGTTCATATAAAGAATATCTTAAAGAAAGAATTTTTATTGAAGGAAATTTAAATAGACATATTGGTAGAGTTATAAAAAACTTTTAAAAAAATTCATGATGGCTATAAGTTTGGAGTGACTAATAAAGGTGATGAGATCACATTAGATTTTGCTCTTGCTTGTGATTTTTCTAATTGCCAATATTTTATCTAAGAAAAGAAATGAGTGTCTCATCACTTACAAAAATGAATATTATAAAACTCAGATTAATTATTTTCTTAAAATAAATCATTTAAATTATAAAAATATTCCGACTAAAATTTTATGCACCGAGCATATCACTTATTAGTTTTGGATTTTAACATGAAAAGGGTTGAAAAAATGAAAATAAAGTAAAATTGTCTTATGATTAAATAAGGGTAATTAAAAAATGCCAATAAAAATAATTTTGATAGTAAGATTCTAGATTTTATGATTTGAGTTGTTCATATTAATGAAGAAGCTATTGTTATTTGAAAAAATATATCTAGTGATATTAAGAATGTTGTTAAGTATGTGCTTTGAGAGTCAAAAGAAAAATGCTTTAATAGTAAAAATAGTTGTTTGTAGAATCAAAATATGAGGATAAGAAATTTGTTATAAAATTTATTTTATATAGAAAAACTCAAAAAATTGGAAAAGATGATAAGAGACTCATAACAATTTTAAAAAAATAATACTTTTAGTTTTTAATATTTATAGAATAAATTAAATACAAAAGAGGGTAAAAGATGTACATATAAGCTAGCCAAGCAAAAAAGATTTGAGAAGTAAAGATCTAGTTCAAGCGAAGTTTATTAAGAATAAATATTAAAAAATGATTTTCTTAGAAAAAGATATTCAACATAAGTGGATAGGATTTTTTTTTCATAGGTGGATAGGATATTTCAATAAATTTATCAATAAAGGTTATGAAAATACGATTAACTTGAGTGACTTTAGCATCCAAAATAAAAATAGATATTTTTGTTTTTATCATTGTATTAATAAAACTGAAGTTAGAAAGGCTTTAAAGAAAATAAATAGTGAAAAAACAATACGACTTGATAATATTCCAATAGAAGTATAAAAATGCTTAAGAGAAAAAAGATTTTCTTAACTTAATAAACTTTTTAATATTATTTTAAAGACTAAAAGATGTCATATGAGTGAAAAATAAGTGTGTTGATTCTTATTTTTATAATAAAGATGACGCATAAGAGTGCAAATTATAGAGGAATTAAATTAATGTGTCAGATTAAAATTATAAGAGAGAATTATTGAGTATACGTTACAACGTGATACTAATGTTATCAAAATTAATTTAGATTCATGTCGGCTAAGTCTACTATGGAAGCTATACATTTGTTGAGAGGTTTAATGGAGAAGTATAAAGAGAGGAAAGGGGGCCAACATATGATATTTATTGATTTAGAGAAAGCATATGATTAAATTTCAAGAGAAGTGCTTTGAAAAGTTCTAAAAAGAGAAGAGTTAAAAATGCTTATATTCAAGTCATTAACGATATGCTTATAGTAGTTGTTACTTGTATTCAAACATAAGGAGATTTGACTAAGTAATTTTCTATTTCAGTTATATTATACCAAGGATCAGCTTTAACCTCATATCTTTTATTTTACTTATGGATGTTCTCACTAGACATTTCCAAGAGAATGTACCTGGGTGTATGCTTTTTGCTTATGATATTCTTCTTATTGATAAGACTAGAGAGGAAGTTGATGAAAAACTCGAATAAAAAATATGAAAAAATTAAAAGAAAATATTTTAAAATAGAAAAAAGATGAGTACATTAAAAAATTAGTATCAATTAAGCTTAAATTCTAATGCATCCTAATACTTAAGTCAAATAGGATAAGGTAAGTGAGCTCGTACATAGAGTTTAAATGTTTTCATTTGAGTAGATCTAAAACTAAATACAATGTATAATTTTAATGGCAATAGATCTAGTGGTGGGATTGTGAGATTGGGTGATCAAGTTATTAAAAAGAGTGCACGTTTTAAATATATCGGGTCTACTATTCAAATTGATGGTGAAACATATGAGGATATTATTGGTAGAATTTAAGTTAAATAGCTGAAGAGGATGAATGTATCGGGTATGTTGTGTGATAGAAAAGTAACCCTCAAACTTAAGGGAAAAATTAATAAGATAGTGGTGAGACCTGCAATATTTTATGGTGCAAAAATGTTGGTCATTAAAAGAGAAGCATAAAATTTAATTAATTGTTGTAGAGATGAGGATGCTCAAGCTTTACACTTAGAGAAATAATAGTAAACAAATATATATGTCATAAGGTTGGAGTAGCTACAGTGAGAAACAAGATTCAAGAGTGACACCATAGATGATATGTTCACATAAAACGTCGGCCTTCTACTAGCCCTGTTAGGAGTGTAGATATATTAGATCCAGCCTATATTAATAAAGATAGAGATAGGCTTAAAAAAACTTGAGTAGAAAGTATTAAAAATATATTATTATTAGATTTAGAAATGAGAATTTAACTCTTAATATAACACAATGGAGAAAAAATATTAAAGTAGCCAATCCCACAAAGTAGGATAAAAGCTTGTTGTTGGTGTTATTGTTGTTGTAGTGAAAATTAGTCAACATTATATTAGAGATATTGTAAAGATCAATTGGTCAATAAGCATCATGCCTCTACAAATGTTTCCGCTATTATTGCTAATTATGACTCAATACTTCAAGAGATATGAACAACATATTCCTAAGGAGATCGGATACCTTTGATTGATGTTAATAGCTACATTATGGAGATTCTTATCGAGGGTTTGCAAACCAATCGTGAAGGCCTCCATGACATACCCTCTCGAATAGGATTCTCTAGAGTGTAGATTTCTTAGTTTGAGTTTCTAGAGAAAGCAGCTATAGGATTACAACATAGAAGGGGGTGGCATCAACTAGGGTTATAGTAGAATTTGTCTTGGTTGCTGATAGCATGGTGAGAGGTAATCAAATCCTTTCACCTTTCCCATGGATGTAAGCCTAGTTAAAGTTGAATTACGTGAATCACTATATGTCGTATTTCTTCTCTTTCGCTTTTGTGATAGTTTTGCGACAAATTCTTCTCAATCATGGTTGATGCTTCCACATCAAGTTTTGGTGCTCTCGTTACAAAAAAAAAAGGAGTCAAGGCACAATGTTAAAGAATAATGGTCACAAAGTAGAAGATTGAGAATTTAATGATTTCAGGCCTTCAAAAACAAAAAATTATTTCTACGATCCAATTATAAAGAAAATAAGTTATTTTTTGTGCTTGCAAGGTGAGACTACGGCTTCTTTAAGATGGAATAAGTGTTTCTATTCCTAGTTTCAGCAAGTGGAAAAACTCTTGGTCATAGAAGAGAATAGTTCTCATTTGGACCCATACAATAGAGAAGGAAAAATATTAACTGAAT